GCCAAGCAATTGGGGGGCCCCACGTGCTCGGGATGCAGGGATGCTCAGGGCATCCCCACCTGGGGTTGCCCCCCACCCGGGGTTGCCCCCCACCCAGGGACAGGGCACCCTGGGGTCCCCTTGGGCACCTTTGCTTCTCCAGAATGGTTTTGCCGCAGTTTTGCTGGAATCAGAGCCTTTCCCTGTCAGGCGGGGAGGATCTGCCACAGTAATTAGAAGCCATAATCCAGCCACCACCCACAACAAATTTCCTGTCCGAGCAGATATTAGTGGATAAAACCCTAATTTTTGACGTTGTCCCAGAATCAGCTTGATTTCAGCAGTTTACATTCAGGCTGAGCTGTTGGGAGAGATGATGAAGCCTTAAATATGCATATGGCCTAGGCATTTGGAAAGTTTGGGGATAAAGCACGTATAATTGCTCCTAATCAGTTTATGAAACATAAAAGCTCAAACCCAAGAGAAAGCCGATAGATGCAGAAATGGAAATAGCGATTAAATCTCCCCGTGCTGGCGAGGTGGCCTGGATACAGCGCTGCTGCCCGAGGCAGCGGGCGACCGTGGGAGTGCCACGGGGGACGGGGATGCGCCCGCTCCTGGGACGGGGCTGTGGGACAAGGTGGGGGGACGTGCCTGCCGCCACCGCCGGCTCCCCTGGCCACGGTGGAGAGGGGCATCTCCACCGGTCCTTTGGACAATAAATCAGTTAAAGGATATCTTGATATATGCTCATCAGATAGGATTAGCTGGGATTAGACTAATCAGTAAATGTTTCTCTGCTCATTATTTTCCAGGGAAGATTTTCAGCTGATTCTCCGACGCCAAAAGATTATTAATCGCTTAAAGAGCAGAACATCAAACATCGCCCCTTGCTCTAATTTCCCCGGGCTTCACCCCCCCCCCTTCATGAGCAGGGCGCCTGCGCCAGCCGGCCCGGCAGCCCCAGGGTACCCCAGCACCCAGACCCTCCACGAGGGCTCCGGCCAGGACGGACGGAGGCTGCAGCACCCTGGTCCCAGTGCAGACCCATGTCCCAGGTGTGGGTGCTGCCCACAGCCGATGCTGGAGCACCCCGTCCCCTACGTGCTGCTCCCCGCTTCACTTTGCAGGACTTGGGGCACAGCAAGGTGGGACAGTCCCTGACGTGTCCCCTCCTCCCTGTGGCTGCACCAGCACCACGTCAAGGCACCCATGGTGCCCTGCAGCACCCTAAGGGATGACAGGATGGGACAGGTGGCTGGGACTGTCCCCTTCAGACACCAGGGACAAGCCTTGCACATCCTTGGGGGATTACAGATACGTGCAACATTTTGGCAGACCCTCCTCAGCCAACGATGGCTCCCGAGCCAGCGGCTGGTAGGTTTTTGGGGCCCCTGCTTTTGCAGGGACGTGAAACTCAAGGGAACCCCAGAAGGATGTGCATTTGCCTTGCAACCACCTGCTGTAGCGATGACGAGGGGGAAGCAAGGAGAAGGTATTGAAGGGCCCGGTTTAGGGGATTAGTAATGGGATAAGTCAGCTTTCACCTCCCCGGTTTAGATATGAATCAGGTCAATAATAAAGGACCATCTGACAGTTTCAGGCAGCGCGGGGTGGAAGAGGCTCCCGTGTTCCAGGCTGGACAGAGAACTCCTCTCCAAAAGCCCGGCTCCTGCCGCACATCCACCCGTTGGACTCGTGTTGGCAGTCACAGCCCGGTGCTCCCCGCCGGCTCTGTGCCACGCACCCGCATCAGCTCCTGGCAACCCAGCACAGGAGCGAGGTTGGAGCCTCGTCCCCAGGGATGACATTGAAGCTACAGCCATTGAGTGCCTGCTCTGTAGGGCAAGCTCAGCCGGCTGGCTGGTGGCCATGGTGGACCATGCATTGGTGTAGGGTGGCCCAGAAGCGGAGCACGGCGGGGCGGGCAGCCAGCTGATGGCAACACAGGCAATTTGGCAAAGGTGGGAGCCTGGGGAGAAGGTCCCTGCCTCAATAAGCATGGACAGAAGGAAAAGGGATTTTCTTCCACCTCCTCTGTGTCCTGCTGGGAGCACGGGGAAGTGATGGCTGTTGTGAAAACGTTGCCTCTGACACATGGATGAAAAGGAACTGAGAAATAGCCCATCACTAGGGGAGAAGGCAGCAAAGAGGGGGACGTTGCAGTGAGGCACGTCCGTATTTCGCAAGGCTAAATCCCCACCTCTGAGTTACAGGTGGGCTTCCTCCTTGTAGGCTATGGGACATTTCGCAGGCTGCAGCCAGGGCTGAGTGGTGAGTTATGTGCGTGCTCCTGACCAATTAGGAGTAGATCTATCTAATGGCCAAATATCCTCCATTTTGGGGTGATGGATTTGCAGGGGCAGGCAGCATAGCCAGGTTAAACGAGTGGGGAAAAGTGTGCTCCCCGGCACTGCCGGGCTGCGGGAAGTGCTTCGTTTCTAGCTCGAGTGTACATGGCTGAAGCAAAGGGTTTGCAGGGTGAGCACAGCCACAGCTGGCCATGCACGCCACCTGCTTAGTGCTGTAGCATCGCCAGCCGAGCTTACTACAAGTGCATCGGCAGCCCTAATTTGCCACTGGAGGAGGTCCCTTTCCATGTCCCACTCTGCATGCCCCAGAGACATCCCTACTAATTCCTCTGCACAGATTTCTGTCTTAAGGCATTTGCCTTTGATTAAAACCAGAAGAGCAGTCACGGTTTAAGTGGAGTTTAAGAGCAAACCATGTGCTGATGCACAGGGCTCTCACATCTGGAGTGTCGCAGATTTAATCAAACTGCTGGGAAGTGCCGCACACAGACAGCTGTCACAGCAGCCTGGAGCCCATCTCCTAATTAATTCCTAGCCAAACACAGGGCAAACAAATGACCATCAAGGTGCTACACCTACAACCTCGACTGGAGGCATGACTGGCAATCGGTGAGCAAGAGAAGCTCACCCTGTGTATCTCCAGGAGCTATAGGTGATGTAGCCCATGGAAAGCCCTGTCCCTGCTGCTAGAGAGGAGACTGGGGCTTGTCCCAGAGGTGTAAACCTTTAAGCGATATATGGGAACATGAGGGACAGGGTGTTCACGAAGAAACCCAGGCGGAGCAGGCACAGCAGCCATAGCTCTGATTTCTTGCTGCTCCTTCAGCTGGTGCTTTTCGCTTCCACTCCACTTTGTTGTTGTTTTCTAGTCCCATTTACCTGCCCATCTCACATCCCCGTGGGCAACCCGCTCCTGTCCTATACAGGGTGCGTGAGCCGGGACACAGCCTTCCCTGGGGATGCTCTGCCTGGCGTAGATCCTGAGCAAACTCCGCTTGCTTCTGCAGCCTTTTGCAAAATCTGGGCAATGGCAAAACAGGGCAGGTCCAGACTCGGTTCTCCTTGGTGCTCATTCACAGCTCATTAAAGCTAATTGAAATGACTACCGGAGCTGGGTCTATGTGGGTGCTTGGAAGTCCTGGGCACACGGCACAGCTAGGCTGGGAATATCCAACTGTGAGGAGCCCCAAACTAGCCGATGGACTGTCCATTCCAATTAGCCCCACAAAGGAGCTATTATTCCTCCGCACTATGCTTGTCCGATTACTTTATCTTATTATTTTTTGATCATTCCTCCAAAATGTGCTAATTAAACAGAAATCATCAAGTCAATTAGAGAAACACTCATTAAAGCAGAAAAGAAAAGAAAATATCAGCAGAAGAAAAACGGCTGTGAGGCTCCCAAGCACACACAATAGCTGCCACATTCATTAAATCAGCATCTCCCAAAAGAGGGGTAGACATTGTCCCACTCTGGTACGTGCCCTGGAAATGAAACTTCCCAAGCGATGGAGTCAGATTTCTTTCTTTCTTTCTTTTTTTTTTTTAAATGGAAAAACACCACCACCTCACGTTTCTTTTACATTTGGGAGAGCAGAGAATTTTTTGATCCCGTGAAGGTCTCAACCCAAGGACAATGAAACCCCCTGGAAGATTTTTACTGACTTTAGTGGGTTTTGAACTGAAGGCTTAACTTCCAGACTGGAAGATTGTCAGCTAGTTTCTTCATTCAGATGTTTGACCTTCAATCAGATAATGGCATGAAGCGCAAATAAGTTAAAAAAAGTTAAAGCCCAGCAAGGTCTTTCAGAATATCTCCACCGACATCCATAGTTCTAGCATTTGCCATCTAGATACGGAGGCTTGGGGGAGCTCGCTCTGCTTTAGCCTGGAGGATGTCAGCAGCGATGGGCAGATGCTTTCTGCGCTACGTGGAACAGGGAGGGCGAAGGGAA